CATGCTGTATTCTCAATATACGTTTACATGTGATAAACAGGCTGACTTAGAAAAAACTGGAAAGACTTGTATGGTCTGATGCTGAGTGAAGTGAGCAGAACCAGGAGAATGTTGCACACAAAACAGCCACTTTGTATGATGACTAATATTGATAAACTTAACCATTCCCAGCAATACAAGGATCTAAGACATCTCTGAAGGCCTCCTGATGAAAAATGCTATCCACATCCAAAGAAAGAACTATGGAGTTTGAATGCAGATTGAAGCATACTATTTGCTATTTTTTTTCTTCTGTTGAATTTTGTTTCCTCTTTCTGGTGGTCCCTTCTATTGGTTCTAATTCTTACTTACAACATCACTAATGTGAAAATATGTTTAATAGGAATGTATACGTATAGCCTATATCAGATTGTGAGCCATCTTGGGGAGGGTGGTGGGGAGGAAGTGGGAGAAAAATTTTAAATTCAAAAGCATATGGAAGTGATTGTTGATAAATCAAAATTAATTAATTAAATATATATATATATATATATATATATATATTATATATTATTAATATATTTATATATATATATATATATATATATATATATATTTACATGGAGTTTACATGTTGTATTTACTACTCCCCTACTCTAAGTGGAAAGCAAACTTCTTGGGGGCAGGTATTTATGCTGGTTTTTTCCTCTTTGTATCCCCAGGGCCTAGCACAGGAGCTCTGAAAAGAAGAAAGCATGACTACTTCTGGCTAAAGGTCTAAGCAGGAATAAGACATGAACACAAGTATAATTAAAGGTTAAATGTGATAGGGGTAAAGAAGAGATCCCAGCCAATAGCTCTCAAAAAAACCATAATGAGGGTGAGATTCCCATTAGCTGAAGGTGATCAGGGAGGGCTCCCATGCTCAAGTGGCAGCTAAGCTGGGTCTTGAAGCAATTTCAGAAAGAGAGGCGACATGTGGAAGAAAAGTTCTGTCTTACGTCAAACTGAAATCATCTTCCCTCTGACTTCTACCTGCCATCAATTCCAAAATCAGAAATCCCACCTGGACAAGGACTGTCCTGCTGGATTCTGGAGGAGGCAGAACTGACTTTAATTTGATGTTATCAGCCTCTGACTGAGAGGAAATGTGGTATAGTGGATTGAGCCTTAGAGTAAGGGAGTAAGGGAGTGAGCCTTAGAGCCAAGAAGACCTGAGTTTACCTCCTCTCCCCCTATGCTGGGGGGAGGAAAGAGGAAAAAACCTAGGCAAGCCATTAAATCTCTAAGACTCTTTTTTTGGAAGCAATCAGGGTTAAGTGACTTGCCCAGGGTCATATAGCTAGTAATAGTCTGAGGTCAGATTTGGACTCAGGTCCTCCTGACTCCAGGACCAATTCACTATCCACCTAGCTGCCCCAATCTCTAAGACTCTTAAGTTAACAAGGTGCCAGCTTGCTGGTAGAGGGAGATCCTGTGTCCATCAGTTCCCAAGGTCAATGAAAACAAAGATTCAGTCCCAGTTCCTATACCTCTCCCTGAACCAGAGTGAAAGACTGAGATAGGCAGAATAAGTAATTCATTTCTCAAAACTCTTTCACTCTGGGATTTCTCCAAGGAGGCCCTGCAATTCTGCCCATGTGAGAGAGTTATTGGAGCTTCTTTGTTTCTTGAGCACAGAAGCGGCCTCCAGTCTCCATTCCCCAATCCTGCTGCTAATCCCTGTCTGATCCTTTTGTCCCAGACCTTGCCTCCCCCCTAACTCTGGACTGAGACAGCTTCAAACTGATTTCTCCCCAGCCCGGCTAGACTTCAGGGAGTAAACAGCCATGTCATTCAGAGAGTATTCATCTGCAGTTCTGTACATCTGGAATGCAGCCCTCTGAGTTCAACATTTTATTAAATATTGAGGAAGCCAAACAGTGATGGGAGACATCAGCTAAGATCTTTGCATGGGGAGGGGGAGGAGGAGCAGGGGAGAACCATCAGGTTTGTTTCCCAGCAGCCCAGTCATTCCTGGTTCTTTCATAGGAATGCCATGATTGGCAATTACAAGGTGACCTCAAGGGCGTTGTGTGGTGTAATTGACTTTTTCTCATTACGGCTCCAAACAGGAGCCCATCAGTAGTGAAATCTGTGTACGCTGGTAGAATTTGTAAATGTAACTCAGTCTTCTATCACCTCTGGATCAACTCAGGCCCAGAGTTCAGTCTCCATCTCTAAAGGGTAAGAAGTATTTCACTAGGAATTCTTTTCTTAGCCAAGAATGGATGATTATTAGACTGCTTTGAAGTCTCCCTCCTCCCTTTTTCCTTATATATTGATTCTTCCTGTATCACCCATCTTATCCTTTCTTTGAGGGAGCTAAGCAGCATAGCGGGTGGGGCTCTGGGCCTTCAGTGAGGAAGATGAGTTCAAATCCAGCCTTAGTTGCCTACCTAGCTGTGTGCCTTTGGGCAAGTAACTTCACCTCAGTTTCCTCAGTGGGGATAATAATGGTATCTAACTCTCAGGGCTAATGTGAGGATCAAATAAGATTTGTCAAGCATTCAGCACAATGCTTGGCACATACTAGGTGCTTAAAAAGTTTGCTTCTCTCCTTCCTTCCTTGTTTCTGAAACTCTGAAACCATTCCACAAGTACCCCAAAAAAGAAAGGAAAAAAAATCATTATTGTTGTAGTTATTATAGGTAAGTTATTATAGTTATAATATATTATAACTATATATTATATATAATTATTATATAATATTATTATATAACTATATACAAATATAATATAAATTATTATAGACAAGAGCTTACATTGATGTTCATAGGCTCGTACAGACAGAGCTCAAAAGGACCTTAGAGGTAGATCACTGAGTCCAACTCCCTCGTTTGACAGATAAGAGAACTAAGGAAGTGACTTGCCCATAGCTGCACAACTGGTAAGTGTCTGAGGAAGGATTTGAACTCAGGTCTTCCCAGCTCCAAGTCCATTCATTTATTGAGCACCTGTTGTGTGCAGAATACTATTCAGTGTGCTGAGTGAGATCCAAAGTTTAGATAAGACACAATCCTTGCCCTCTTACAGCCTCATGAGGGATATGTAATACATGTAATATGGAGGATAATGTGGTGACATATACACTACATCACATAATTACTATATTATACAATATTGCATTTTGAGTGCATCAAAGTAGGGTAAACTGAGTATTATGTAAGGTCCTAGAGATCATTACCAGCAAGAGGAGTCAGGGAAGGCTTCCTGGAGGGAGTAGCCTTTGAGTTAGGCTTTAACGATTGAGTAAGAATTCAGTAAGTGAAGAGCGGTGGGAAGATATTCCCAAATGTCATATGGTGCTCTGTAAGCTTTATTCAAAGGCAGAAAAGTCACTATTATTATTCCCATTTTGCAGATGAGTAACCTGAGATTGACATGCTATAAGACTTGAAGATTGGTCATAACAGCTTTAGGTCAAACAGACTCGAAGAATTATTCAACAGTGCAATGGGATGCCTTGTGAAGAAGAGGTGAATTCCCCAGCTGGAGGCACTCAGGTGAAGGCTATATAGCTAATTGTCGGGGATGTCCTGCCTCCTTGTAAGTTGGGCTTAATGATGTAAGACAGCATACTGTCTTGGGGAAGGGTGCTAAACTTGAAGTCTTGGGATCTGAGTTCCAATCCCAACTCTGCCCCTTACTATCAAGGAGTCTGTGAATAAGTGACTTAGTATTCCTAGACCTCTGTTTTCTTATCCATAGAATGAAGGGATTGGACTAGATGACCTCAAAGTTATCGTCCGACTCGAGATCTATGACCCTCTGACCTGAAGGGTCCCTTCTTTCTCGGAGATGCTAGGAGCCTATAGCATTCTTACAGGACCAAAGATTGACAGAGCTGAAAGGGGGCTTCAACTGTATTAGGAATCAAAGGCCTGACTCACAAACTAGCTGTGTGATTTTGGGCAAATCATTTCTACTCTCACTTTGTAAAAATGACAGATTAGGACTTAATGATCTCTGTGGTCCCTTCCAGTTTTAACAGCCTAGTGTTCTCTCTTGCTGCCTGTATTTCCATATCCCAGCCTGCCCCCACCTTCAGAGCTGCTTGAATGATGTGCTCTCAGTTTCCTGATTTCCCTGGCTGCCTCTATCCCATTCCCAATCAGCGTTCAGGCATTTGGTTTTCCTATCACTTCCATCCCAAGTTCCTAAGAGGCTGCAGGTTCATTATTCATTCATTAATTCAACATTTGTTTGAATTGGAAGCAGTATGGTTTGGTTCCAAAAATGTGGAATCAGAAGACCTGGGTTCTATCCCAGGCTTTTCATTTACTACCTATGTGACCTTGGGCAAGGAATTTGTCTCTGGGCCTCAGTTTCTTCATCAGTAAAATAAAGGGGCCGGGCTAGCAGACTTCTAAGGTCCCTTTTCCAGGTCTAACTTCTGTCATCTGTTAGTGTTCTCTTCTACAGCCTAACCATCCCAAGGACCTCCAACCATCCTTCATATTGGAGGACCCACCGCCACTAGCATCCCCTTCAGAATTGACCCTTCCTAAGACATGGAAATCAGGTGAGCAAACTGTCTCCCTTTAGAATCAATGTCTGCAATAAGACCTTCAAAATCTTGATGAGGAATTGTAGCAAACTCATCTCCAGGCCCAAAAAGCACAGGAATTGCATTGCTGTGTCAGGATCCATTGATGCTATTAAAGAAATAATGATATCGATTCTTTAAAAAAATAAACTTTTAGACGTAGCCTGAAAAATCTCTGTCTTAGAAAGGGACCCAGTCCATTCATGCTACAAGCTATCTGTGCTCTGAATAAATCCCTTTTCTTGCCTGACACCTTCTTTCCCTTCTCAGGACCATTCCCCCTCCTCCATGTCTGGAATCTTTCTTGCTGGAAACTTCTATCTTCCACTCAAGTTCATTTATTGGTTCGAGCCTGCCTATGACCTCAGAAACAGGAAGCCAATCAGATAGTCCTAGGTGAGAATCCCCAGCCTTCTCCTATAAAACACCTGGACTCAGCTTCCCCATTTCAGTGTGACCATATTGTGTGGGACTGCCTAGATGTCCCCGCAGAAGAACTGGAAGAGCAACCAGGAAGAGAGGAGCCTGCATAACCTGGGTGATGTATTATTGGCCCCACTTCCCTTCTTCCCTTCCCACTCATTCTTGCCCCTGAAGTTTATTGCCTTTCTGTGAGTAGTAAAATACAAGGTCATTATCACCTCTGCTATCACCTGGTCAGTTTTCTGTTTTTAAGACTCCCCAAAGCATATACTGGCCAAGACACCTTGGGCGGGGAGATGAAAGTGTTTAGAAAGATCATATAAACTTGTGACGAACATCAGAAGCCAACTTAGACACCATCTAATTCAACTACCTCATTTTAAAAGTAAGGAAACTGAGACTCAGTTTGTGACTGTACTCAGATTCACACAATCAGCGGAGGCAAGATTTGCCCAATTCTTGAATATCAGATCAAGCACTCTATCTATCCACTGCATGATACTGCCCACATCTACAGATGGGAAAACTGAAGTCACATTAGTAGTAAGTGGCAGAGATGGGTTTTGAATCCAGACCCCATGACCCTAAATCCAGTCACCTTTCCCGTTGTGCTCTGATGACTCCCTGCCAACAGAACCTTTTCTTTGCCTTAGAAAGATAAAAACAAGTGAGCTGGATTAGATGAAAATTAAAGCCCACCATCTGCATCTAACACTCCAGACATTCTGATGCAACAATGCTGGATAACTGCAGCCTGTCTCTGTGGTACCAAAGAGCTGAGCCAGCTCTAGGGGAGACTGTGGGGCTCTGTGCTCATCTAACATTATTACTGTGTTTTTGCTGCCCTCTGCTGGCTGGACTTGAAATTTCCTCTTCCAAAGAAGTTTTTTGATCTCTATTGGATTTATGAATCATTCATTTTAACTTGACTTTTATTGAGCACCATCTGAGCACCTAGCCCTGTGTTAGTTAAATTGAAGAAGGAGAACATGAGAAAGAAGAAGAAGAAGGTACAAGTCTCGCTTCACCTAAGGGAGTTCATGCAATTCAGTCAGCAAATTTTTCATCTAGCAGATGAAAGTAGATAAAGTGCTCAAAAAGACCCAAGTTTGAATCCTACTTCATAGATTATGCTGTGTGATCCTGAGCAATTAATTCAAACCCTACGTGCCTCAGTTTCCTCACATACAAAATTGGGGGTTAGATCCAATGACTTCTAAGGTCCCTTTCAGTTCTAAATCTATGATCTGTGAACCTACTGTGTAAGTACTGGGGGAGGATATGATTTTAGATAAGGTAAGCCATCTGCCCACACAAAGAGCTCCCAGCTAATCTGGACAGTGGCAATAAAGGGTAATGGACAGAACTCTGAACTTTGCATACTTTCCAAGCCTGTGTTCAATTTCTAGCCATGAGCTAGATGTTTGTGACATCGGATACCACAATACCTTTACAGTATCCACCTGGGAATCCAGATCATTCCTGACATAGGCTCTCAAGAAAGGATTCTTGCTGGAGATGATATTGAATTGGATTTTAAAGTATTGGATCTGAGGAGTTCAACTTCATAAAACCAGCCCAAACAAAGGGATCATTACCATATAGGATGGCGTGCTGTGTGTTTTCAGTGAAAGCAGTTAGTCCAGAGTAGAGGGGCAGGAGTATTCTATGAGATTGAAATGGGAAGGCAGGAGCATCTTCCATGGCCGGAGCTGAGTGTGATTTCGCAAAAAGATCATTGAATTTTAAGTCAAAGGCTCAGGGTTTAAATTACAGCTCGACTACTATACTCCCTTTGGAATCAGATGCTTCCTCCTTCTCTGAGCCTCAGTTTCCTCATTAGTGTCTTCATATCTACCTTTGAATCCCCAACATTCTTTGTTCTTCAAGGCTCAGATGCCCTCTCTCACTCACCTATGCCCAGGCACTGTTGTTGTTCAGTCATTTAATCATGTCCAACTCTTTGTAGATCCCCTTTGGGATTTTCTTGGCAAAGATACTAGAATAATTTGCCATTTCCTTCTCCAGCTCATTTTAAAGATGCTGAAACAGAGGCAAATAAAGTGACTTGCCCAGGGTCATACAGCTAGTAAGTGTTTGAGGCCAGAAGTACTTCAAAATTTTAATGGGAAGAGAGCTTTAGTAACTTAGGGGGTTCTTAACCTGGGGGCTCTGTATAGATTTCAGAGGCTCTGGTTACCTGGGTGGGGAAAAAATTACATCTTTCCTTTCACTAACCTCTAAATGAAATTTTGCATTTCCTTCCATTATGAATATAGGCAACACACATTATTCTGAGAACGGGTTTATGGGTTTCACTAAGTGGGGAGGGGTCCAGAACACCAAAAAGATTAAGAACCTTGCCACTAAAGGGACCAGGAAAGATCTCCATTGGAGGATGGTGGCATCTAAGCCATGATTTCAAGGAAGCTGGGTAATGCTGTACAGATGAAGGGAAAGCATTTGACCTCCTATACAAAGACTGAATATCATATATAGAGAATAGTTTCAAGTTGAGCTGAAACATAGAGTGCATAAGGGGAAATAATGTACAATCAATCAGTCTGGAAAGACAGGTTGGGGATAGATTGTGAATGGGTTTAAATGCCAGACAAAAGGATTATCATCCTACGGGAAAAAAATAGGGAGAAGCAGAATATTGTAGGGTAAGCTTCAAGTATGCTAATTTTCAGAAAAATTCGCCATCTGTGTGGAGAAGAGAGACTGAAGACAGGAAAGAAAGGAGGCTGGAAGACCGATTGGGAGATTATTGCAAAAGGTCCAGCTGAGAGCTAAATATGAGGGCAGCCAGGTGGTGCAATGGGATAGAGCCCTAGTCTTGAAGTCAGGAAGAACTGAGTTCAAAGCCAGCCTCAGAAACTTACTAGCTGTGTGATCCTGGGACAAGGAACTTTAACCCCATTTGCCTTAGTTTCCTCAACTGTAAAATGAGCTGAAGAAGGAAATAGGAAACCACTCCATTATCTTTGCCAAGAAATCCCAAAGGAGTCACAGAGGCAGACATGATTGAAAAGTGACTGAACAACAATAACAACTTTGCTGGGTACAGAGGTGGGACAGATGTGAGAGGTGTTGTAAAGGTACAATCAGCAAAATGTGGCCAGATGAGAAAAGTTATGAGAGAGGAGAGTGAAGAAAAATCTGAGGGTACCATTTCTGTTGAAAGTAGTGATTCAATTAATAGAGACAGGAAGTTAGGAAGAGGTTGGTCTGGAGGTTTCAGGCAGCAAGGTAGCACAGTGGATAGTGTTGGGCCTGGAGTCAGGAAGACTCATCTTTCCTGAGTTTAAATCCAGCTTCAGACCTACTAGCTGTGTGACCCTGGGCAAATCATTTAGCTCTGTTTGCCTCAGTTTTCTCATCTGTAAAATGAGCTGAAGAATGAAATGGCAAACCACTCCAGTATCTTTGCCAAGAAAGCCCCAAGTGGGATCACAAAGAGTTGGACAATCTGAAACAAATGAACAACAACAGCAGGTTTGAAGGGAAAAAATGATGAGCACTGTTTTAGACAATAGCTAGCATTTATATTTAGAACTTTAGGGCTTATAAAACACTTCACACATTATCTCTTGGTCTCCGCAAAACAACCCTGCAAGGGAGGTAGATGTTTTATAATCCCCCTTTTACAGATGGGGAAGCTGAGGGTGAGAGATGGAGTGACATTGTTTCTGTAGAACTCAGGTCCTATTGACTTCAAGTTCATTACTCAGATATGACACCACCTAGCTGGGACATACTAAGTTCAAGATACCCATGGAAAATGCACTTGCAAATAAATGTCCAATCAGCCTACTTGCTGATAATACAGGATGAGCAAGAAAGTATGGAGAAAAGGCCCTAGGGAAAGCAACTTGGGCTGCTCTGCTGGCATACAGGGTCACGCTTTCCCTCCCAGTAAGAGAGAGGATGAGGACTGACATCTGAGAGCAGTGTCATGAAAACCCGCTGAAGAAAGAAAAGGGTGAGTATCTGTGTATCCAAAGAGGGGAGAGAGATCTAGGTAGTCGATAGGACCAGATGTTTCAGAAGGAAGCAGGATAAGAAGAAATGTTGTGGATATTGAACAGATATAAAGCCTTCCCAGATGCCCAGCTGAAAGCTTTCACTCCATTCTCAAACATGTCATAGCACTTTGTCTGGATCCCTTTTTAGCTCCTGTCACTCTCACTTCTATTGGACGTAGTTACTCATCCATGTTGTATCTCCTAACCCAGGTAATTTTTCATTGTTGTCTCTCAGGCCTGCACACAGGATATATATAAATATATATATATATATGGATATATAGATAGATACAGATATATACATACACACACATTTCATATATATAAATATAGATGTACATATACAGCTATTATCATATGTGTGTATATACATACATGCATATAGATATGTACATGGCATGGTGGTCTATGAAAAATTCACCTAACTTGTTGTTATCTCCCCCCCCACCATCCATAGTTCTCCTATTTGTGTTTTAAGAAAGACTTTTTGGATAGGAAGCTCCTACCTCTTTTTTCCTAATCTAAAGGAAAGTGGAAGCTTCAGGACAGGGAAAAAAGGACAGATGGAACCTGCTGGGGTCTGGGTGCCAGGGGATGGGGAGTTCAAGGTTTTTTGCTCAAATCATATACTGCACATGCTCCTACCTACTTATTCATAAGCCGTTGAGCTAGAAGTGACCACAGAAGTTATCTAAATCATCTGTATTTTTCTCATTTGTCAAGTGAGGTTCAGAGAATAAGAATGATTTGCCCAAGGCCATATAGATGATAGGCTGAGTAGAACCTGGTGTTCAAGCCTAGGACCTCTGATTCTACAACTTATGAAATCACAACCTGCACCCTCACTTAATAGTAATAATAGAAAAAAGGGTGGAGGAGTGTGACCCTTGTACATAATGGCATGGTTCCTCACACAGCCTAAAACATAGTATGGGGATATTATGTGTCTCAATGAAAGCAAGATTCCCTTCAGCCTGAAAGGTCATTGTGACCTCATCAGTAATGTCATAGCAGTCAGGTTCAAGGGGAAGGTGAAGCTCTCTGCAGCCAAGTGAATCTGTCTTCATAACTTCTGAGTGAACAGGTG